CACCTAATCTACCCAATGTTGAGATATTCAGCACATCCCTGAGAAGGGCCTGACTACAACTTAAACTTTGCCTCAGAAATGAAAATAATGTAACTTAAAAGTTTGTACCCTCATATGAATATGAAATAAAAATAAAATATATAAATGTTTTAATAAAAGGCTGTATGTTAATACCTAAAATAACACATGCTAATAGAATAGTTCTCAAAATCATTAAAAATAACATGTAGAATTTTATTCCTATTTCAGGATCATATTGACTCATTTTGATAATCCATCATACCTTCCTTCTTCAAAAAGGGAAAACATTAAAATTTAAAAAATATTAATATTTGTTCAATGACACTATTTAACGAGCATGTAGGTTTTCAAATAGTACCTTCATGTCCTAATTTGAAAATACTCACATAGTTTAACTGTGTATTTGAAATACATGATACAATAATGTTTTGGAATAACTCAACAGAAAATAAGAGGATCTCTGATGATTGTCTAAGAGTATAGAATAATTAATTTGCCCCAGTATTTTTCTAGTATTTTCATTGTACTCAGACAGAAATCATGTATTTTATTGTAACCAGCAGTGTGCATTCAAACCAAGACTAATTAATAATTGTGTAATCAAAAGGCAAAATGTATTGTACAGATAGGCTGAAACATAATAAATATTTGTCATATAGATTTATAAAGATGCTCGCAAAATTTCGTAGCTTCCAATGGGGTAGAAATATGACCTGTGCTCTATGCACAAATGTCCCTCCATTTTACAGCCTCATAGTAGGATGTCATATAATTTCCATTCAAATCTATTGCGTTAAAATGACAAAGTTGTGTTCAACTTTGCTAAGGTAAAGATATCACGGGCAGCACCTGTGGCTCAAAGGAGTAGGGCGCCAGCCCCATATACCGGAGGTGGCAGGTTCAAACCCAGCCCTGGCCAAAAACTGCAAAAAAATTAAAAAAAAAAAAAAAGAAGAATAAGAAGATGATATTACAATTAAAGAAAAAATCTTTCTTCCTTCAATTAAAACATGACAGCAGATAAATAGGATATTTTGAATTCCTATCAAGAAGGCAGCTAAAAATGTACGAAATTCATACAGATGGGTTGACTAAGAAAACAGATTGAAAATATTAGTTTTAAAATGACATGTGTTTTTAAAATGTGTAGATTCAGGGAAGATGTAAATGAGGATGTTCATAGCATTGTTTCCAAAGAACATTAAGTGTGTCTGACATGTTTACATGATAATGTTTGTTCGTAAGAGTAAAAGAACTAATTTACATTAAAGTTTAAGTGCAAAAATAAACCTTAAACAGTCATCTGAAAGTTGTGTATTGATTTAGAGCAGAGTTGCATTTTCCCCAATCCTCCAGCTCTAGAATCTCTGTGTCTTGAAGCATAACCAATGTGATTTCTAGCATTTCCTGTGACCTGCTCCATGACACATTAACTGAGGTCTTCCAAGTACGACAAAGCACAGCTTGAAGAAAAAGTTAATGTCACCACACAAAGATGACCAAGTTTTGTTAAAAATAATATATGAAAAGTCTATATCTAATAAATTAACAAAAACAATGTGTATATATAGCAAATTATAATGTACGTTAGACCTTCTTGTATCTGGTTAAATCCACAGTTTAAGTTAAAGAGATATCAAACATTACTACCTTGGATATATGCATCATAAAATACTTCATCAAGAAAGTCCAAATAATTCAAGTGAATCTTTCAGAGATTTGCAGTGAATGACATTACTTACAAGCAAGGGGCATCTTGACATTTAATATATGGCTTTGCTAACCTTAAGCAGTAAAGTTAAAATGATAAGGATGTTAAAATCATTTTATTCTTTAAAAAAAATCCTTCTAAAAGAAATAAGTGATGTTCATACTGTTAGTGGAATTTCATTATAAGTCTTCCTATAGGCTAAATAGAGATGATTTATAAAATGATAGTTAGTAAAAACGGAATGGGTTTTATAACTCCACTTAAGGAAAGTTTTGTTTTTCTTGATTCTCTTCTCAAAAACAGACATTCTGACACTTATGAGATAGAAATGTACCATTTGACCTTTAAACTTCTGCTTCATTAATGCAACCACAGGCAACAGAGTCAGTGACTGGCAGCTTTGCACTCCAAGGCCTTTACCACTTAAAGTTATTTGATAACTGTGATGCCACTATTTGCTTTTTATTCCAGACACTTTGAGAAAATATGTTCCATTAAAAATAGAATATATTGTGGAAATCCTGATAAATGGTATCATGTAATTCAGTTAAGTGTCCCCCTGAGCATTCCCCTCGTGGACTTCCATGGGTAAGGGATCTATGTTTAGAGGATAGATGTTTTGTTTGTTTTGACTTCATATGAACTAGAATACCATCAAATATGATCTTAAGTATACCAAGTAAACATGCAATACAACTGTGACATTACTCTTGATGAATAATAGGTCAACCGAGTAGCCTATCCTCAGTCCTTAAGCTCCATCTACATGGGGCCCTGGGCACAGCAAATGTGAGCTGCAGAAGAGTCAAGAAAAAATAACTGACAACATCTAACACAGTTTTTAATGAACACATCATTTATTGCAAGGAAATATGTTAAATTAGTTTAAGCCTATGGACAATGTATTTCCACATGTATTTTTAGTTTTGCTCAGCAATTGACTACTTCCTAGAAAATTAAAATTACGATGCACAAGTTGCTTTCGGTAAAAAGTGATAGAGATCAAATTTCAATTTCCGATGGCCAAAAGTAATTATCTAAAAACCAATTGGGTAGAGACATTATTGAGAAGAGACAGATTGTGTTCTTTTTAAGAAGTTTCAGAGTCAAGGGTTCCCTAATAAGACACTACAAAAACTCAGGATCTAACACCTAAATGGATGAGGTGCAGTGCACCCCAAGTAAACAAGGAATGCACCAAAAGAGCCACACTGGAAGGACACTGTCCCCACCGGGGAGGGCAGCTTCCCTGTTGGAAGCAGTGAGTACATTAAATAGAGATCAAGATCTCCTGGAAGAAGAATGCGGGTCCAGGTATTCTAATTAACCACAGTATTTATGAGATTGTTCTTAGAGAACACAATGCTAAGATGTATCATGGGAAGAGAAGTTGTCTACCAAATCCTTGAGGTTCAAACGGGTAAAGCTCCTTACAAATCAGCAATGTGCTGCTACAAACATGTATTGCAGCTCTGTGGTCCCCATCTGCAGCCTCCGACCTGTGTTTAATCCTTACCACTGTTGTTTAAACTTGTAAAAGAAACTTAATAAAAAAGTAAATACCGGTTACTTTACATCCTCTATGTGACAAAGAGCTCATCAATCTTACTAAAAATAAAAAGTTATTTCACTGTGTTGTCACAAAAATATTTATTACTTGTGTGCATATTTAGTACCATTTTCTATTCACAACAGAGATCAATGTGTGCTATAAAACATGTGGTTAGTGCACATTATAACAGAATCCCCAGCAAATATGGACTCATGTCTCAAAAGGCACAAGTCACATACCACACCCACATCATTCCATTGAAACATGTTGCATGATTGAAGCAGAAACATCCCCGACTCTCTTTCACCTTAGACATACCATGTACACTGATTTTGTGCAATTCACACTTATGAGTCAACTACCACCCAGTGGAGAGAGAGGAAATCTTTCAGGGAGATGTGAGGTGGGGTGTCAGGAGAAGGGAGGGTGATAGGAAATGGAAGAATAAGGGTGCTCAGCCTTGCTTAGATGGAAGCACAGCTGATCATCAATTTATAATTTCATGAGAGATAAAATGTTTCCAGAAGCTCACTCTGCACTGTTGCTTAAGGGTGAAATCTAGGGATGGACGTTCTTAGTGACAAACTATTCCAATGTTCATGCTCAGAGAACAGAAGCAGAGGAGAGAGAGGAAGGGAAAGAAGTAAAACTAAGACAAGAAGCAGGGAAGGAAGAGGGAATAGAAGGAACAGGGAGAGAGAGCCGGGAGAGGCAGAGGAGAGGTGCCTTGTACACACGTGTGGGTGACAGTGCGAGGCAGGCAGGGAGGAGTGTGTCTTTAACAGCGACAGAGAACCTGAACGTGACAGTGGTCTAGGGCATGAAGTGCCAGCCTATGTGAGGGTGTGAGAGAGTACGGGAGTGAGAGGGAAAGTGTTTATGAAAACGCGATTACCAGGGTGGGAGCCTGGTAGTGGAGGGAGAGAGTGGACATGCCCGTGTGTGACAGGGCTGGGGAAGGTACAGCAGGCGGACGGGAGAGAAAACGCAAAACAAATCAGGAGGAAGCCGGGACAGAGTGGGGCACTGATGAGGAAAAATGGGGAGAGGGGACGATGAAGAGAGAGGAGGAAGGGGATGAAATAAGAGGATCAGAAATGACGAGGTGCAGATTTTTTTAAAAGAGGAGAAAATATGAGAAAATAAACAGGGATATGGAACAGAGAGAAAATAACACCCAGTGAGAAGAGGACCTGGAGGGAAAAGGGAGCAGTCAGGGGCCGGAGAAAACGGGGAAAGAGAAAGAGGGAGGATTAAACAGAGACGGGAGAAAAGGGAAATAAAACCGAAGAGCGAGCAACTGGCCCTCAGCGTCCCAGTGAGGGGAAAATAAACGGAACAGAGAGCAGCAGTTTGAAAAAGTCGCTTTTGCTGGAGTGAAATAGAAACAACCCCGATAAACTTGTCAGCCACTCCGAGAGTCCCCCACGACAGTCAAACGGAGACCTCGTGAATTGAGTTTCAAAGTGGCACCTGCCCCTCCTTCTAAACCTGACACTTCACTCGTCCCCGGGCTGCTTGGCGTTCGGGCAAAGTGCTTGAGCATCCCCAGTCCAGCTGCCACCTGCCCCAGACACACACCTGGATTTCTAGAGATGTGGTCTCTCCGGGCAGAGCCTCACCAGCGCTACCACTCGGTTCCCAGAGAAGGCAGAGAGGGTGGAAAGAGAGACAGACAGCCCGCCCGACAAGTACGAACGCACGCCGTCCGCCTACCTAAGCACCGCCGTGTCCCCTTTCCTGACCATCATGTTGTCCACGGCGGCCCAGGGGAAGTCCACGCTCTGTCCGGCCGGGAGGCAGGAGGGCAGCAGGCAGCACAGGCTGAGGAGCACCGCCGCCAGCCACTGGTTCGAGCAACAAGCGCCCTGCACCAACAGCATCATGTCCATCCCTGCGAGGGCTGCTCACTCTCCAGCAGCCTTCAGCTCCGCTCCCCACCCCCTGGTGCTGGCGAGTCTTCCCGGGAACCAGGCGGCGCGCCACAGG